CTTATTAACAAGAGTGGTAAGAGAAGCGGTGTGGATGGCCGCCAGGTCGCTGACTTTCAGGAGGCGGTGCTCCCAGGAGGAATGTGAATAAGGACTCGCACCTGGCCGCGGCCCAGGACTACCTGCGCCCTCGGGCAAAGGCTGCAGCCCTCATCCTCGTCTCTCAGGTGTGAGGCACTAAGGGCAGGACAGGGACATTGCACATCTTGTCATTTGGAAGCATTCTGAGGAAATTATAATTGATACAGTATTTGAAAGAAAAAAGATTTAGAACAAACCCTTCTTTGTGCTTTTCTGTAGGTGATCAAATGACGAGCCATAGCACTTTCAAGGACCACTCTATCCTAAATAACATGTCAGACGCTGCTGTCCAATAATTATGAAAATGAAAAATATTTAAAATATACTCTAAAATAAATAAATAGGAAAGAAAAGAAGGACTTACTTATGACTAAGAGAGGAAGGATTATAAACAATTAAATGAGGAATCTGCAATCCAAAAGTTGATAAAGGCAAAGAGCAGCAGAACCCAGGTGTGCGGGAGAAGAAAGAGGAAAGTATATTGAGGCAATACCTCATTCAGACAGCAGCACACTCCCAACATCCATCCTTCATTTTTAGGTCCTCGGATTTTAAAAAGTATCATTTCTGTATTTCCAGGATCTATCACATGGAGGAGACACTAAAAACAACTTTTGCTGAATAAAAGAATAGAGTTAGGCCACGGTTCAGGAAAGTAATCCTGAATCCTAAAATGATTAAAGAAAGGTATAAAAGACTGCCTCTGAGGGAAGATGATAAAAAAATTGAGATTGGTTGACATAACAACAGTCAAGTATGTGAAAGGATTTTTCTCTCAATTTGGAAAAGATAAAATTGACTAAAACCATAGCACTAATAACACAGGTTAAGCAAGGAATATACTGGTGCTGCTGACTGGTAGAATCAGCCCCCCAGAGGTTACTAAATATTTCAGAGCAGCCTAGATTATCCTTTCCCTCACATCACCTGAGTCATCGCATTGAAATGTCCACGTTGTGCAAGTGCTCTGACCGATGGGGGGTGGGGGCGGGCAGTCACAGGCCTCTGGCCAGTCTTCCCCTCGGGGGCTCCGCGACACAGCGTCTGCGGGTCAGGCCTCTCACCTGGGCAGGCACCTCTCCTGCAGTGGGAGCCCTGCTGTCCCCTGGGAGGAAGGCTCCCCTGCTCCGGAACAGCTCGGCCACGTGTGCCCGCGCATCTGTGTCCAGGTGAGGATGGCCTAGAGCCTCGGCCACTTGGGAACCGCAGACTCAGTTCTTGAAAGGCGGTAGGAAGCAGCTTCCCTGCTGAGGACTGGACAGAGTAGCAGGCTTGAAGCCGGGCTGGCCGAGAGAAGGGTCCAGCGTGATCTCTGCCTTCTCTGACAGTGGCTTCCTCGGGTGGCAAGTAGGTAGATGACGGCAGTGCTGGGTGCGGGGCTGCTGGAAGGTTCTTCGAGCCATGACTGAAGGATGGCGCCAGCAAAAACCTATTCAGCCTGGATCTGAATGGGGGGGCACTGAAAGGCCGGCTCTGACAAGGACGTCAGGTGACATGGCTTTTGTAGGAAGAACTGAATTTCAAAAAAGATTTGCTCAGATTAAAAAAAAAATTATTTACCTATTTACTTACTTCATGGTCAATTCACGTTCAGCGTTAAAAATTTAGATTATATGAATGAAAACTCAAAAATTACCTGTATGAAATTGTTTTGGCGTATACATCCGTGCAAGTGAGTTTGTGTGTGTGTGTGTGTGTGTGTGTGTGTGTGTGTGTAGTTGCTTTTCTTTCCCCAAAAGTGGTCTGCTATGTACCCGCTTTCCTGACTAACCACCATTCCCTGTCAGGAAACAGGCGTCTATGCCGCCATCTTCCGTGGCCACACAGTCCCCCGCTACCCTCAAAATACTTACCCTCAATGGCTATACCCTCAAATACTTAACCAATACCCTTGTAGTGGGCGTTTGATTTGGTTGCAAATTTTCACTTTCAAAATTAACACTGTGTTAAACATCTTTTCCTTAACTTTAAAATATCCTGAAACCACCGCCATTTCTGGCTCTACCAGTCGCTATGTTTCACTCAGTGAAGGAGCTGGAAATGCATCTGTAACTAGCAGGCGATGGCACATTCTTCTCTGCTTCAGACACCAGTGCAACTTTCCTAATCTCTACAATAATTACTATTCATATGGAGGATGAGCAGACTCCAGTGTATTCCCCACCCCCATGTACTTTAAAGGCATTTCACAGGAACCTGCTTTGAAAGACTCCTCAAAATAAAATATACATGCTGAGGTTTTCCGAAAAAACATTTTTTCACAGAAATTAGAAAAATAAAGGAAGCTCTTGATGCCTGTTCCTAAGCTACAACCCGTGCCTGGAATTTTTACCACTCTCGTGTCCAGTCTCACTTCTTGAAAATTCCTTCTCACGTGAAACCTTTCCCAACTAACTGGATAAAGTTTTTTCTACTCTTATTCCATAATTGCAATTCCCGCAATTTCCCTTTCAAGAATTACTTCATTTTTATCCCCACACAAATATAAAGCCCATATTTATTGTTTTTTGTTTTATTTCCTATTTCATTAATATCTGCAATTATTTTTATTACTTTCGTCTACTTCCTTTGGGCAGTTCTTTTCTAGCTTCTTGAGCTGAATATTTAATGTGGCTATTTACAGTTTTCTAGAAAATAAATGTTCAAAGCTTTGCTTCAATCTTGGATTAGCGCTCCAGCTGCATCCCACAGTTCTGTAGTACTTTTGTCAATTAGCTTTCTAAGCACTTCTAAACCTGCATTGTGATTTCTGTGCCCATGAGTTTCTTAGAAATGTATATTTTTGGACTCCAGATTTATCCTTTATCTTTTGATTGCTGGTGTCTACTTCAGTCGCACTGCACTCATAAGGACTATGAGCTGCAAGCGAGTGATTTTCTGAGACATCTGAGACACCTCTAATGGCTGAGTACTTGGTCATATGTGCAAATAATGTTCATGTGCCTTTAGCACAAATCCTGTTAGCTTTTTAGCCATGTTGGGTAAATCAGAGTGTGTTAAAATGTCTCATTACTAAAGCTGTGGATTTGCCAATTTCTTCTTTAAATTCTGTCAAATTTTGCTGTCACCCACATAATTCATGATTATTTTTACGTCCTTGCTGAACTATTTTTAACTTGTGTCAAGTGGCCTTCCTTACCCCTACTGATTGTGCCTTGAATTCTCTTTTTCTCATGCAAGTATTGCCACTCTAGCTTTCCACTGGTTGGGATTTGCCTGGAACGTGTTTTCCCAGACCTTTATTTTCAAGCTTTCTGAATCACTTTTGAGTTGTCTCTCTTCTAAGCAGTCTACAGCTGGATTTTAAAACACCCAAACTGACAGTCTCTGTCTTTCAATAGGTGAGTTCAATGTGTTTAAATTTGTTGTGACATTTCCTACCCTCTTATTTCGTCTTTTCTACCTACCACTCTCTTCTTGTGCTTTTTCCCATAGTCTCCTCTCCTGTCTTCCCTTGATGAATAAAAAGGTCCTACACTTCCTTTTTTGTCCCCTTTTGCTTTAGGCTGTATTTCCATATTTTCATGACTAACCTGTCAACACTGAAGGTAATGCACACTTTTACCATTAGTGCAATCCTTTAAGAACCCCCATGGTCTGTCAGTATCATCGTTTTACCATTGTTAGAGCTAAGTTAGCAGAGATTCAGCTCACTTAATACAGCGGTCAGAGAGGCAGACTTGTACTCAGCCTTTTGATAAGGGTAGGGATACAATTCTTCCCTTTAATATGCAGTACCACCGGCACTAGATATATTTAAATTTTCCCTTAATTTTGATGACTTTCAGATGAGATTTGTGCATAGAGATACACCTATCGGTGTATTTTCTTCTAAAAATACCTTCTTAGAACTTATAGCTCTGCTCTTCCTTAGTTTTATCAGAGTTCAGCCTCATATACGGAGTTTTACTGTAGACATTTTCCACCTTTCAATTCAGAACTGGAATTTTACCTTAGTCAGTATTTGAAACAAGAAAAGAGTTAAGAAATAATCCAAATACTCATCAAGGGAGTAGGTAAGCAAATTACACAGTAACACACTGGAAGACAATGGGAATCTATCAGACGTCTCCATAAGATCTGCACATGACATATATATGGATTACGCTGATCCATGAACATGTTAAGTAAACAAAGCAGAACACAAAACACCACACATGTAATGCTTCCTACTGCGTGTAAATGCAGGAATGTATACTGCACGCATCAACAGGATATCTGTGGATTGACACCATTTAAAATTAATTTAAAATTTTCTCCTTGAAGCACTTAAGTTTTTTCTTTATCTTGTCATTTCTTTTTCTTCTTTTTCTGTCGTGGTTGCTGTGGTCATCTTCATCGTCTTCTTTTTTTTAAAAAAAAAAAAAAAACAACCATAACTTTCAGTTCCTAACAAAGACCTTAGCTTGTTTCTCATAATTTTTCAGTTAACACAAATCAGATCACTGTGGTAAGTTCATATTTCACTACATAAATGTGTGACTGATTTCATTTCCTGGCAGTGATATGCTTTTGGCAAAAAAAAAAAAAGTCCAACTAATATTCAATTTTGAAGCAGTTTCATGCCTGTCTGAAATGTGGGGTGCTTTACATGATTTTATTCTTAACCAGACAATGATTCAGAAAAAGGAAGGGGAAATTTCTGCCTAAAAAAGTTAGTGCATTCCCTCTTATCACAAAAATACATTTGCCCTATTTAAATGGTTCTATTTCCTTTGCCAGAGCTTTGCCAAAATCACCAAATTATGAGAGTAAAGCTGTTTAACTATAGAGTATGTAACCATATTTTATATATCATAGATTTTTAAAAAGCATATAAATACTGATAAGTTAAAAGTTAGAGCTATATAGAAGGCAGTTTATTTTGTTTTTAGTTAAATATGTTTTTAATTAGATGTACCCTTCTTGGTTTTTTCCAGAGACCCTGGACACTGCTGACGGATATAAACATGGACAATTTCACGACACATTCTCCAGCTCCTCAGGAAAGCGAGTGCGATCTCTATGCACACCACGACACAGCCAGGATACTCATGCCTCTGCATTACAGCATCGTCTTCATGATTGGGCTCGTGGGAAACTTGTTAGCCTTGACTGTCATTATTCAAAACAGGAAAAAAATCAACTCCACCACTCTATATTCAACCAACTTGGTGATTTCAGACATACTTTTTACCACTGCTCTGCCTACACGGATAGCCTACTACGCGCTGGGCTTTGACTGGAGAATCGGCGAGGCCTTGTGTAGGATAACTGCTGTCGTGTTTTACATCAACACCTATGCGGGCGTGAACTTCATGACCTGCCTAAGTATTGACCGGTTCTTTGCAGTGGTGCACCCGCTGCGGTACAACAAGATGAAAAGAATCGAACACGCAAAATGCATTTGCATATTTGTCTGGATTCTAGTATTTGCTCAAACACTCCCGCTACTCATAAAACCCATGTCTAAGCAGGAGAATGAAAGGATTACATGCATGGAATATCCAAACTTTGAAGAAACAGAATCCCTTCCCTGGATTCTGCTTGGTGCATGTTTCATAGGATATGTACTTCCGCTCGTAATCATTCTTATCTGCTACTCTCAAATCTGCTGCAAACTCTTTAAAACTGCCAAACAAAACCCACTAACTGAGAAATCCGGTGTAAACAAAAAGGCTCTCAACACCATTATTTTTATAATTGTTGTGTTTGTTGTCTGTTTCACACCTTACCATGTTGCAATTATTCAACACATGATTAAGAAGCTTCGTTTTCCTGATCTCCTGGAATGTAGCCAAAGACATTCATTCCAGATATCTCTGCACTTTACAGTGTGCCTGATGAACTTCAATTGCTGCATGGACCCTTTTATATATTTCTTTGCATGCAAAGGGTACAAGAGAAAGGTTATGAAGATGCTGAAACGTCAAGTCAGTGTATCAATTTCCAGTGCCGTGAAGTCGGCCCCTGAAGAAAACTCACGTGAAATGACAGAAACTCAAACGATGATACATTCCAAGTCTTTAAATGAAAAATAAAAAGGAATTAAACCTTGGATTTATAGCAAAGGAAACTGTATGATAAATTTTGCAGAACTTTTCTTATAAAGCAAAATGACTGTTCAACTTCCAACTGGGATTATTCTAAATTCCTTTCATTGGGCACTATTTCTCACCTCCAACTTGGAAGCAAACTGATAAATATGTATTTTTTATACTTGAGAACAACATCAAGCAAAGTTCTACTTTGTAAATAAAATACTATACCAAAAGGGATGGTATTTTAATAACAGTGTGAAAAGAAAAGTTTTATGTTAATGAAAAATTTAGTCATTCATATTTCCTGCCAATAATTTGGCAAAAGAAAAGAAGACTATTAAAACTTGTATATTGCCAATGTAGAAATGTCAATATTGTAAAATATTTTTCTCTCCTTTTTTTGCATGTTTCTTCAATTCCGGTTTCTTTCAATCTTAGACTTTATCTCCTCAATAACAGCAGTTTTTTATTTTGTTCTGAGTCATACAATTTAGTTTCAATGAATTCTTTTGGAATAAAGAGCAAGATGCTACAAAATTATGAGTATGTCCTTCAATGGTCACTGTCAACTCTCAGCAGAAGTTAGAGGGAGGATACAATTGGCAGCAGACAGATTAGGATAGGAACATTATAGGGACGATGGTGATGAAGGCAATGAAAGCACTGAGCTCTCTCCAGACAGCCCACATAGCACCTAAGGGCCACTGCTCAGGAATATGACAAAGGCTTTATGTGGAAGGAGGGTCCACGTGCTAAATTCTTCCTGAGAATAAAAAAAAAAAATAAAAATAGGCTTGGTTCTTCTTGGGTCCCTAAGGGATCATTTCTTTTTTATTCAGAGGTTGGCAGTATCTATTATTTCAATGGTTTGGGTTATCAGAAAGGGTAAGAAGGATGAGCAGCAGGGCTGTAGCTGTTGCTTGCCTAAACAAGACAGGGAGTAAAATGCAAAATCATAAACTCCAGGGTCCCCAGGATTCTTTACAACATTATACATTTGCTCAAATAAATGCTTTAGTATGTATGAGAAGCATGAGCCCTGCAAGTATAGTCATCCACCTGCCAGCTCAAAATCTGTTCTATTCAATCCCCAAATTACCCTAGTACAGTATCTATGTCACCAATGATACCAATTTTGGTAACTGAACATAAAGAAATGAAATGCTGTATCATGAGTCATACTTAAAATTTTCATTAGGCTTTATATGGCGGAAATAGTTTCTTTTAAATTCTTACCTTGCTCATTTTAAACTTTTATCCTGTAAGAAAATTCATCTTAATGGTTGATTTGATACCACTTACTGAGTACTTTCAGATTTGTACTTTGTAAATTTCACAAATAGCGACCTGACCTTAAAGCCAGTGACAAAAATAGGCACTGGTCTTTGTAACACCTTACGGAGACGGGTAAGACCACATGGATGGAAACAGTGTCTTTCCTCTACTCGATCTATAAACCTTCCCAAGTGAATGTGAAGAAGGGCAAACCACCAAATTTTATGCAGGGTGGCACTTAAGTAGTCCTTTGAGTTGGATCCCAAAAGAGAAACCATTCTGAAAGTTACTGAAGGAAAACCAGAAACAAAAATTCCTGTATGTCAGAGTATCTTTAAGGCACACGTGTTCTTTGATTACGTTCAAGAACAGACCATCGTGTGTATGAGCCAACATACTGTTTCACAGCAGAGAGCTCTATCTGCGCTAATGCAGTCAGTTCTTAGTGTCCTTCAAATGAGAAAGTAAATATATGTCATTTGACAAAGAAATAACGTATGCTTTTTCCTGATTAGTTTTCTGCCTCTTTCCACTATATCAAAAATCTATATAAATGAGTTTATCTGAACAACAGTAGTCATACTGCCAAAAAGTTAAACTTTAAACCTATCTCCAACTAATCTCAAAAAAAGAATCTGTACTCTAGTCAAACTCAGCTACTTGCTCTCCTTCAAAAGGTGCTTCCTGCCTATTTCATTCACGAAGCCATTGTTCACACATGGCCTTGGCACACCCTCCCACTGACTTGTGTTATTTGTTGGTTTTAGGTTTAGTTCTTGTACATTTCCCTCAGGAACAGTCAAACTTGGAGAGCAGGGACAACGCTGTATAGTTTTTGTATTTGGTTATAGAAAAAAGGAGGTGGCCTTATATATAACCCATTACTTGAAAATCACAACCTGTGAGTATTTTCTACACCAATCAGGTGATAGATTAATAATAATTTTAAATAACAGGAAGCTAGAAAAACTTGCCTGGAAAGCTGATAGTTATATGGCAACTAACCCTATCTACCTTTTCCATAATTTTACTTTTATTTCTAAAAGGATCATTTGGTTAATTAAAAAAAAACTCTCAAAGCTATTTAGTTTAAGTCAGTATAAACACATAGACTCTTCAGTGATAGTACAGAATAGTAAAGGTTAGATTTTACAAATGACATCAGTTACATAAGAAGGCAGTAATTCACAAAAATAGTCCATACATTATACAACGTCTTCCTTGTCACAATCCTGTGAAACAGGATGAGCAGACTGTGCCACCCACCCTTTATAAAGGAACTTACATTCAGAAAAGGCACTTGGTAAATTAGAGGCAGCCTCAGGAATGTAATCCTAACTTCATATCCTAGCCAGAAAAAAAGAACTAAATCACACAGCCCCTGAAAAAAGTATTAGAAGGCTTGTTTCATTACAGGCCAGCAGATTAGCCAACCCTTAAACAGGACAAATAACCAACAGTAGGTAGATTATAAACTCAGCTAGGCTATGAGTTCCATGAAGATGAGGATGTTGCAGGTTATACACAGCACCAAGTATAAAGCCTGGCACACAGAAGGTTCTCAAGCACCCATCAAATTGAATAGCACCTGTTTTGTACAATTACTAACAAAATACTGACGCCCTATTGAAATATCTGTGAAGTTCTTCTCAATGAAATGAAACACCCTAAATGTTTAATTACATATATGCTAGAGAATATGTAATTGTATAACTGAAGACAGGGGTCCTCAAAGACCCTGCGATTTAAACTAGACATATTAAAGAATGGAACAAATTATCCAAGAAGCCAACTTAAACCTAGATTCAGAAACATGTTCTGCTTGAAAATAATTTTGTATTTCAAGAGGCCAGGGCAGTGACTCTCACCAATCAGTAAAAAGTACTATGCAATTTTAAAAGAGGAAGCATTGGTCTTAAATTAGCTTTGAAAATGGTTCATTTTGGTCACTCTTGGCCCACTGTAATCTGTTATTCTTTGCAAAGCTAAAAGTATTTGCTCGCTGACTATTCAGTTAAGAATGAAAAGATACAAAGTTGATCTGGTGACTACATGGCCCATTCCTTTGAGTCCAGGGAGGACTAACTGCACTCCTGAGAACGGATGTCACTGGACGTCTGTTTTACATTAAACTCTGAAGAACTGATCGTTCAAAAGACAATCCTCAAATTTCTATTCAACTAAAAGCTCAGTTTGTGAAGAAGAAACAATTACTGGCCGTTTACTACGCGCAGCTTTCTTGAGCACTTGACAGGCATTATCTCATTTAACTCTCACTCCCTTGAGAGGTGGGTATAACTATTGCCTGCATTTTGCCGATGAGGAAGCTGGGGTGCCAGGCCACATATGGAGAGGTGGAGTCGGGAATTCAACTCAAACCCTCTGACCCCGTGCCTGCAGCCTGACCTGGAGCACAAGGATGTCACCACCTACGGAAACATGTCCATTAAGAGATGGCTCCCTTCCTCCACTGCCTGTGCCCTCCTGGGCCTCGGACACCTTCCAACACCACATCAGAACTTCAGTTCACCTGCATTTCTGCAGGGGCTCCTAATTTCTCTGCAAACTCAAGCTCTATTCTCTCAGCCACCCACACCTGACCATCCCTCTCCTAGCCATGTTATCTGGCCAGTGAGCCCTGCTTGGGTTCCTCCTCTGCCACCCACTCTTGCCTGTTTTTTCTTTTTGCCCAATATAGCATCCTCGTCCAGACGCTGGCGTCACATACACCTAAATTAACTCAACTTCCTTCCCACTGGTCCCCTCACCTGGACAGAAGCTTCAGCCTTCCTTCTGATGCTACACTGGAAGCCAGCAGATTAATACTAACAATGATAAATAACTGCTAACAAGGACATGGCACAGTGCTCTCAGGACTGTACGTATGAATATGCTCACTTAAGCCTCACAATGATTCTGTGAGGCTTGTCCCATTACTGTCCCTGTTTTACCGATAAGGAAACTAAGCCCCAGAGAAGCTGAGTAACTTGCCCAAAGTCACACCGCTCGTGAGTGCGGAGACAGGCTCTAGATTCTGGCAGTCCAGCTGCAAGGTCTGTCACTCTGAATCACTGTATTATGACTCAGAAATAAGTAGAATTATATGCCCCAGGTCCTAGAGAGCCTCACGAGAGACACCGCTCACTGAATATCCTCAATCTTCCCTTGGGGGCACCCATGACTACTTCTGGCCAATGGCTTGGGGGCAAAAGTGATACATGTCACTTCTAGGCTGAAGCCTTAGAGCACAGTGAGGGGTACTCCATCCTGCTCTTCTCGCCTGCCACAGTGACCAGTGCGGTTCTGGACGGCAGGGCCTCTGTCAGCCTGGGTCCTCGAATGAGTAAAGGGAGAACTCCCCACCCCATCCCCCGTCCACCTGTGTTGGCCAAGGAGCGCAAACAAGAAATGCATTTGTGTATTCAGCCACTGAGATTTCAGGGTTAATTTGTGGCTACAACATTGGCTAGTCTTCTGATTAACACAGTGTTTAGCCAACTTAGAATGAAACTGACCAATCCGCAGAGTGTAAAGAAGAGAAAATGCACAAACTACACAGCTCCGGCAAACACACACAGTCTTCCTTAATCCCACTTACATCGTGTCATTTCAAACTCCCGGACTGAGAAGAGTTCCCCATGGTCTACCACATCAAGTCCAAGTTCCTCTCCCACACTTTCAAGCCCTTGCAATCGAATTTCCCTCCATTGCCCAACATGTATCTTTCAAGACGTCTAGCTGGTTTTGTCTGTACCGTGAATATGACAAATATTTGGTTCCCACTGGTTGATTATTCTGCTTCTGCCATTTATTTACCCACATTCCACTGATACTTCCTCCTCTAATTCTCCCTTGACTACTCAAAGCCGCCCATCTTCCCTCTTCAACTTACTTGGCTTCATATAGTCTATGCCACATAGCTTTAACTTTAGACACACATTATCTTGCAACAAAGGAAGAGGGAAAACACACTGGCCTGGTTCGGGTTTGACTGTATATCAGCTACATCACCTCTGTCCAGGCTTTTAGCTTTTCAAGATTTCAGTTATCTTATCAATGAAATAACAGCGCTAGATAATACATATGCTCTCTGCCAACCACCACACGCCTAGGGTCTGCTACTTCATGTGCATTACTCTTATAGCCCTGAACCAAAACATAAGCTCTATCAGGACAGAGACCTTGACTTTCATTTCCTTCTATTCTGGGTAGCTCTGAGCACGGCACCCCGCACATAGGTAACGCTCAAAATACATATGTCG